CATAACTGTTATGTGAAACGTAATATTACGTTGTTACGTTGTTGAGGCGGAAATTGAAACTTACATTTAAGTTACTTGTAACATCAACATAACATTACTTGTTACGTTGAATTGTGTAACAGTAATGTAATAATAACATAACTGTGTTTAGTGGGCTGTATATACTATATATAAAAGAGCAAATTCAAAATTACAATAAGATCAAACATGAAATAAAAGAAATATTTTAAGATATAAAATTTACAAATACAAATTTTTCCTTTAAATAATTCTTAAGTTATAAAACGTTTAAAAATTAACATAAATTAAAAAACATTAACAGTAAAAATTACTGTCTTCATTATTTTTTGAACGTGATTATTTTTCTTGATTTTTTTTCTTTGTTTTCAAAAACGTTTTGCTTTCTTTCGTTAAATTTCTTCTTATTCTTCCTGATTTCTTTGCAGTTTTTGTTTCTTTTCTTATTGCTATAATTGCTTCCTAACTGGCGAATCTGTTAAAATAAATTTTTATTTTTTTCTCTGTACGCCTATTTTGTTTTTTCTTGCTTTAACCTTCGGGTATGGTTTTATATCTCCAAGAGTAATAATTTTCCGTTTATTGTCATTAGAATGATCTTTTGTAGATTTATTTTAGATGTCGTATGGATGTTCCGCTGGTTAGTTTTTAATCCCAAATGGGGTAAGTTGTTACATTGTAACAACCTGCTCCGATCGAAGAGTGTAACAACTTGCTTCAACTCTCTATTTTTATTCGAAAAATACAGATAAAAAACCAGTACATAGATTAAACAAAAACGTGTTATTATATCCTAATGTACCCTAAAAGAAATATACAAAAGAATAATCACGTATCATTAACTTATATATATTGTTACGCTCGCGCTCACTGTCACACTCGCGCCTGCGGCAAAGACGGAGACACTCGCGAGCTCGCGCGGAAAAGAATAACACACTCGTTTATAAATGAACTACAACGGTTTATTGAACTCTTAATACACTCGCGTCAATCCAGAGAGTCCCGCCAAACAACTCGTTGCTAAGGGAGCAACCCTCTCTTGTCCGCTTCCGCGGACGATTTCAGTCGGCGCAACTTATGCTCGGCCGACACCGCGAAGCACGGGCGTAACAATATTTACAAATCGTCAGTAAAACAGCGACATTTTTAGAGTTTGATCTGCAGTTTGTTATCGCCTTAAGGCGATCTAAAAATGTTGCTATTTTACCGATGATCTGTGAGTATGTATGCGTACGATATTGATGTAATAGTGTGTAATAATGTATTCATGTTTACTATCATATCGATATCGCACGCATCGTAATAAATTTTCAAGAACATACATCTTTCTATGAATAGATCATCGAATAGATGAATACTCTATAAATAGATACCGGTGATTTATAATAAGTAAATGTTGCTGAATGTATTAAAACAAATGTGTTCTACGTTTAATTATTTTCGCCACTATATAATAGACGAAAATTTAAAATAGAGATCGTTTACTAAATAATTGTCAATCAAGACAAATATTTAAAGATTTTGTAAAAAAACACATTTTAAATAATTTTTAGATTTTTTTTGAATTCTTTGTTTTATGAAAAATATCATTTTTAATATTACATTGCATTAAAAAAATTAAATTTTGTTAAATATACGTAAAATATGTTTTGTTAAATATACGTTAAATTAACAGAATGTACCTGTTCGGATGCATTCTTCTGTCATGCAAACGTTTGGCTCTGAAAATAGAAAAAAACCGATAGAGATGTACCAAAATTTAAATTATATTCTTATATTTTTATTGTTTGATCCTTTTATTTTAATGATTAAAAATTCTCAAATTACTATCTTTTAAATATTGTTTTTCGATTTTACAATTCATTATAGTGTTATAGATATTTCAATATTGTAATAAAAACAATATTACAAAATATCACAATCACTAATCCTATAACAGTATCTAAATTGTATATAGACTACCTCATTTACCGTTGTCATCCAAAATAACTGGTTTATTTTAAAAATTATGTAAAAATGTTTTAGGAAGTAGTTGTCTATTTACAAGAGAAAATTAAGTTAAGTTTTGAATGTGAGTAGATAGTATAGGCGGGTTCTGGACACAAAGTATGTCAAGGTCAAGGCGGGAGGACGGAATGTAGGTCAAAGTCAAAGAGCGAGAGGGAAATGTAGGTCAAGGTCAAAAGAGGAGGGCGGAATGTAGGTCAAGGGAAAGAGGATAATTAATTAATTAATTAATCGCTAATCAATCAATTAAATTATAATCAATCAATCAATTAAATAATAAAATAATTAAATGATAAAATAATTGATTAAATGGTATTTAATTAATTAATTTATGTTTTTCGCCTTTTGTGTACATTTGCACTTCGCACCGGATTCCGCGGAACTTCGATTTATAACATATTTTTGATTGCATACATGCTCTGTATTTACGACAGCGCAGTTTTGTAATTCGCGTTCGCTTAAAACTATGTATGTATGTGTTTCTGCGTTTACGGCTATCCATGGATTCTCGACCTGTATTACCGCGAAACCGTGGTCGTGTACCGGCAGTGGTATCGCGTGGATTACATTGTATGCTGGCAACGCTATTAACGGAAATCTTAAGATAGTAAAAATGTTGAGTCGCAAAACGCCGTCATAGTCGCTATTTTTTCTATAGTTATCCAGTTTTCTCCCTGTAGACTGAACGGGAAGTATAATCCCTGAGGTAGGTTCGTGGCCGCTTCCTTGAGGCTTGTCAATATTTGACTTACGGAGGTAACTCTGGGGTGTAAAATTTCTTCTTTGAGGTATGCTAAGTAATCTAATGTATCTGCAGTATCGCGCAGTATGTTTTCGGCCAACGCGCTTATTATCATAAAGTGTTCAACCATGTCGATTCGGCGGCCGTAAACTACAGTTCTGCCCTGTAGTTTTTTATAAAGGTCGGCTAGGGCTCCTTTGTTCTTGTTTATTGTCTCTTCAAGCCAGTCTACGTGATTTATTGTAGCATTGACCACCTTCAGCTAATGCTTCATGGCGTGTTGAATTGCAGCGTTTGAATCATGGAGCAGCGCGAGTTGCTAGTTGATAAGCTTTTCGTCCTTTGC